TATGAATGATACAAGAGAATGACCCAGTAATAGGTATATGTAGGATATCAAAGCTTAATCGTTGGCAAAGTCTTTCCCAAGAGACTTGAGGTTGTATTAAAAATGTTAAATCTGGAATATATGTAATTATATAGAAAATATTAAATCCCAATCCTCATGCTTCTTCTGGCAAGAGTAGATAGGTCTTACTTAACTTTGATAATTTATACAGTGTTGTACTAACTAGGCACTTATATTTTTTGCCTGTGCATAGATTGGCAAGACATTGGGTTACCTATGTCCTTGAATATGTCTGTAAAGCCTTTATTACAAATGCCACAATTGACTCATGTGTTTTACTTTGATTCATTGATTTTTCTCTTATGAGAAATAAAATAGTTACCATGTTTGTATTCAAAGATGTTTACAGAGTTACCTAAGAAGCCCAGATCCTCACAGAGAGGTCCTGTCTTTAACTTTGTGTTCCTTCTTATCTTTCTGTAACCTTCTTATGGATCTCCCTAAGTACACAAAGTCCTTTCAAACTGGTTTGTCCCAGAAATTATTTGGACAAAATGTAACTTTTCGTGTAAGTTATCTAGAATAGAGACTGGCTTACATTATTCCATTCTGCTGATGTAGTTCCGACCTGTGCTGACTTTGTGGTCCAGCCAGGAATAGATAAGATACTAAGCATTCCCAATCCAAATGGACTCGCAGTAAGGACGATAAACCAATTCACTGTTTTCTTTGAAAAAGTTTAATTTTTGCCAATCTTGGAGAAGCAGCTCTATTGCTAAATCCAAGGAGATTCATCAAAATATTCTACAATGAATGAAGTACATTTACAGTGTTTAAAATGGAATAGTATCTTTGGCAGAATCATACACAGGAAGAGAATAGGTTACGGGATCAGAAAGACCTGGTTTCAATTACAACTTTACAGCTTAACATAGTGTAACCTCGAATACTTTCTCATCCTCACTGAATCTGATTCATCTTCTATAAAGTGGGAATAAAAAAGCTTTCTCGGGGTGCCTGGGTGGCTCAGTCGTTAAGCGTCTGCCTTCGGCTCAGATCCTGATCCCAGGGTCCTGGGATCGAGTCCCGTATCGGGCTCCTCGCTCTGCGGGAAGCCTGCTTCTCCCTCTCCCACTCCCCATGCTTGTGTTCCTGCTCTCGCTGTATCTATCTCTGTCAAATTAATAAATAAAATCTTTAAAAAAAAAAAGCTTTCTCATAGGATTGTAGGAAGGTTAAGTAAAGTGCTGTATATAAAGTACCTAGCAAACATCCAGCCTAGAAAGTACTCAAGGATCTTTTATCTCTTTTCTTATCTTTAACTGTTGTATTTAATATAAAACAATAAGTAGAAATGAAATTTAAAATATATTTTATATTAAGAGACAAACTGAATAGAAACTAATTAATTTATTTAGGCTTTTATTGTAAACTTATCTCACCCTATCTTCTGTGAATAATATATTTTTCTTGCTGAAGGTACCAACGCTGTTGATACATCAGTTGAACATCAGCAGTATGATGATTTCTGCTATGTTTTCTCTGCTATGCTGAGGTCTCGTGCTAAAAGCAATTGAGCATGCTTAAGGATAATGAAAGGTTATACCTTGTAGAGGAAAGGGAGGGCAGTCCCTCCTCTTTTACTTTCAATTGCTGCACTATAGTCCAGAGGGGAGTCCAGGATGGAAATCAGTCTGGTGGAAGGAATAGGATGGGATGACTCCCTAGGCCATGGTAAGTTCTAGGGAACAGATCATTAAAAACAATAGTCTCAATAATAGCAATCAACCTTAGTGCTTTTGGGTCTCAGATATACTGGCTTGTTCACATCAGCATCTATCTTGTTTAATAAGAAAACTTTTAGTGGGAAGACTTTGTTCCATGTAATCTCCCCATTCATGCAGTGAATAACTATTGAGTGTCTACTATTTGGTATCCCAGTGATGTTATTTCTAGTGATGTGGATGAATACTGGGAATAAATAAGTAAATAAATAAACAAACAGACAGACAGACAAGATTGTATGAGGCAGTTCTGACACTATAATGAAAATAGAACAGGATGATGTTATTAAGGGATGTAGGAGCACTTTGGATGGTATACTTATGGGAATGGGAACTTTCGCTATCTCCTGAGAAGGAAGTATCTTTTTTTCTTGTGTGCAGCTCACATTGCCATGAACATAGAATAGCACACCAAATACGAGTTACCTTACTATCTTGTATTTTTCTAATGATTTCTCAGTATTCAGTAGTTTCTTTGGCTACTGAATGGGGGTGGGGGTGAATTAGCCTTTTGGTCACCTCATCACTTCAAATATAATTTATCATCAAGTGTATAAACCCCAAAGCTGAGAACCTTACAGAAAATCATGTAATATAAAATAAATAATAGCATGTGGTCAGTATACATGGGTGTGTTATCTATGGATATAAATTCAGGCTTTGTGACATATCATTACATACTTTTTAGTCTTTTCCTTTCATGGGCCATTAGGAATTACCTTCTTTAAGGTCTGTTTTTAACATAATAACCCCATTTTATGTTAGCCCAGGGTGGCTCCAAATAGAAGTTATTCAGAACACATAGGTTTGAAGATCTGGATTTTCCACAGAACGGCTCTGCCTAGCTGGGCAGATGTCTTAGACTTTCTTTTTTTTTATTTGCGAGAGAGGGAATGAGAGAGAGCACGAGAGGGAGGAGGGTCAGAGGGAGAAGCAGACTCCCTGCTGAGCAGGGAGCCCGATG